AGAAATCAATTTCACCAGAAAAGTAAAGAATCTATATAAGAAAAACTACTAACGCTGGTGAAATAAATTGAAGAGGACACCAAAGAATGGAAAAGTATTCCATGTTCATGGATTAGAATTAATATTGTTCAAGTGACAACACTACTCAAAGCAATTTACAGATTCAATATAATCCCTATCAAAATACCAATGACATTCTTCACAGAAACAGGAAAAAAAATCCTAACATTTATATGAAACCACCAATCTTGAATAGCCAAAGCAATCCTGAGCAAAAAGAACAAAGCTGGAGGCATTACACTACCTGACTTCAAAATATGCTACAAAGCTATAGTAACCAAATCAGCATGGTGCTGGCATACAAATAGACACAGAGACCAATGGAACAGAATAGAGAAGCCATTGGGAGGCCAAGGTAGGAGAACCACCTGAGGCCTGGAGTTTGACACCAGCAACATAGTGAGACCACATCTATTAAAAAAAGAGAAATAGAGAGCACCCAGATATATAGTCAAGCATTTACAGTCAACGCGTTTTAACAAAGGCACCAAGAACATACAGTAGGGAAAGGACAATTTCTTCAATAAATGATGCTGGGAAAATTGGTAATTATATACCAAAGGAGAAATCTAGACCCCTATTTCCCATCATACAAAAATCAAATAAAAACAGATTAAAGGCTCAAATCTAAGACTTGAAACTGGAAATTACTAAAATAAAACATTGGGGAAATACTCCAGGACATTGTCTAGACAAAGATTTTTTGTATAAGACCTCGAAAGCATAGGCAACCAAAGCAAGAACAGACAAATAGGGCTGGGCGTGGTGGCTCAAGCCTGTAATCCCAGCACTTTGGGAGGCCAAGGCGGGTGGATCACGAGGTCAAGAGATCAAGACCATCCTGGTCAACATGGTGAAACCCCATCTCTACTAAAAATACAAAAACATTAGCTGGGCATGGTGGCGCGTGCCTGTAATCCCAGCTACTCAGGAGGCTGAGGCAGAAGAATTGCCTGAACCCAGGAGGCAGAGGTTGCAGTGAGCCGAGATCGCGCCATTGCACTCCAGCCTGGGTAACAAGAGCGAAACTGCATCTCAAAAAAAAAAAAAAAAAAAAGAATAGACAAATAAGGTTACGTCAAGCTAAAAACCTTCTGCAGAACAAAGAAAACAATCAACAAAGAGACAACCCACAGAATGGGAGAAAATACAAGCTATGCATCTGACAAGGGACATATAAGGAGAATATAACCAGAATATAGTAAGGAGCTCAAACAACTCAACAAAAATAAATAAAGAAATACGGTTTAAAAATGGACAAAAGATCTGAATAGACATTTATCAAAAGAGACATACAAATGGCCAAGAGGAAAATGCTCAACATCACTAATTATCAGAAAATTGCAAATCACAACCAGAATGAGATATCATCTCACCGCAGTGTAAATGACTATTATAAAAAAGACAGGGAAGATTGAATGCTGGCAGGGATATGCAGAAAATTAAACCCTTGTACTCTGGTGGTGGAAAAGTAAGTTAGAACAGCCAGTGTAGAAAACAGCATGGAGGTTCCTCAAAAAACCAAAAATAGGACTGCCATATAATCCAGCAATTCCACTGCTGGCTATAGATCCAAAAGAAAGAAAATCAATACATCAAAGAGATATCTGCACTGTCATATTTATTGCAGCACTATTCAGAATATTCACAATAGCGAAAATATAGACTCAACCTAAGGGGCCAGCAGTGGGTGAATGGATAAAGAAAATGTGGCATATATACACCATGGAGTACTATTCAGCCACAAAAAAGAACAAGATCCTGTCATTTGCAGCAGCATAAATGGAACTGAAGGTCATAAGCCGGGCATAGAACGGCAAATATCACATGTTCTCACTCATATGTTAGAGCTTGAAAAGTGGGTCCTATGAAGAGAGCAGACTGGTGGTGACCAGAGGCCAGGAAGGGTAGCATGGAGGAAGAGATGAAGAGAGGCCGATTAATGGGTACAGACACAAAGTTAGGTGAGAAAATAAGAGCTGGTATTTGAAAGATCAGCAGGGTGACTATAGTTTACAATAATCTGTCACACACTTCAAAATATCTAGAAGATAATAATCAAAATATCTAGAAGAGAATAATTCAAATGTTCATAGCATAAAAAAGAATAGTTAAGGCATTGATATCCCAATTACCTTGATTTGATCTTTACACATTATATGAATGCATCAAAGTATCACATGCACCTTTAAAATATGTGTTAATACAACTATTATGTAGCAATTTTTTAATGCAATAAGATGGGAGATGTTTTACCATTCACTCTGCCAGGGGAAAAGCATCTCCAGGAGTAAATGGGTGAATGACAGAACTTCCCAACAGGACAGTTTATTCACCCAAGTAAATAAGACCCCCCTCCCCTAAAGATATTCCTAGTCATGGAATGAAACGCATGTGTCTGCATTGCTGCCTTCCCAGCTATCACAGCAAGGAGGGGCTCTAGCTGCATGGAAACCCAAGATCTTAGACCTTGGGTGTTGGAGATAAATGACCAGGAGCAAACAGGCACATTTCTCCATGATTCACTCTGTCTCCCTCTAAACATGAGGCCAGTGTTTCCTGAAATTGGGTGACATGAAGATGTCAGGGGTTTATCAAAAATTCATCCATCCATTTATCCCTCCATCCACCATGTGCGATAGATATTTCCTCAGCCCTAATTATAGGGCAGTGCGCCTGGCCCTGAAGACATTGAAGGCAACCAGGTGGTCAGAAACGCACATCCTCAAGGAGATTACACTCTAAAGGAGAAACGAGATTTTTAAAAAATCACCAGAACACATATCAGCATAGATGGTGACGAATACTGCAGAGGAAAACCAGTCGGGGAAGGAGGACACAGAAGGGTACACCTGCTGGGGCTGGGAGGAAGGGATTATTTTCAACAGAGTGGCGAGAGGAGGTTTCACCGAGAAGGTGAGCTGTGAACTAAGCCCTAAAGGAGATGAAGGAGCAAGGACCAAGCCTCATGGACACACAGGGAAGAGCTTTGCAGAGGGAGGGGACAGCAGGTGCAGAAACAGCAAGGTGGGAGAGCTCCAGTTGCTCCTCCTACTGTAGGAGGGACAGTGAAGAGCCCAATTTGGGCAAATGGAGATGGAGAAGTATGAAGAGAACTGAAATGGACAGGACGAAGAGCCAGCGCATTGGCCTGGTCACTCATGTTGACACACTGGCCTTTTTCCTTTCGGGAGATGGGAAGGTCTGGAGGCTTTCCAAGAGAGGACAAAACCTGAAAATAATATCCATCCACAAACCCCTCCTCTGAGGGCCTGACTCATGGGGTGGATCTTGTTACATGTATGTTGGACATGCTCCTCTCCCTCAATCATAATTAGGCGCATATGGGAAACAATCCATTAGGAAATGGCAAAAATATGGCTCTGTGTCTATCTGATCCTCACAAATATCACGGCACCATAAGACTCTGACCTCCAGAATGTGGCAGAAAGCACAGACAATGCCAGAGTCTGATTCCAGCAATGAGGAAAATTGAAGTTGACAGCTGTTCTCCAGAGGCCGATCTAAAAGAGGCAAAGTTCAGTAGCTACTCACAGTGTAACTTCCCCTTCAAGCAAGCCTCCAGAAACCCAGAAATTAAGCTAGCTTAACCCTCATCATCAAAATGAAAACGGTAAATCCACGTTAAGGTGTAAAGACAGCCAAAAACAATTGCCTTATTCTCCCACATTCCACGGAAAAACACATTTCTTATATCTGTCCAACATACAGTAAGCATTCGATATTTACTGAAAGAAATAAAGGGGCCTTTAAGCCTCCCCAAAAGAAGCTGACTCTGTGAGCAGGGCCAGCCTTCCATGACCATGCTCTGGAAGCCTTCCATTCTAGCTGGCTCCCAGTAGGAAATCATTCACCTTCCTCCTCCCAAATATTCACTCAGCAAGGAGTTCCAGATGATTGAAAGTTAAGAACAAGGTAATAATACTAAACATTAAGCAGTTCAATTCACTGATCCCTTAACAGTGCATTTCAACTGAAAGAACAAGAGCAACACCGCCAAACGCAAAGGCCCTCCCCAGTGGCCCTCTGCCACTTCTCTTGATGGACATCACTGCATACCTGGGAGCCACCCTGGAGGATATTCCAATGGATGGCAAAGCCCACAGCCTTCCACATCTGGCATCAATTCCTTAGGCTTTGCCAACCATCCCTCCCAAATTGTATTCTGGAAATAACCTTAAATGCAAGAATTCCCACTGATAAACAGAGCCTGTCAATGTTAACATATGAACACCTTACCAGAAGTTTTCACTTCGTTTTATTAAGAGGAAACCACTGAAATCTCACCAGTTACAAATAAAGATCAATAAGTTCATTTGAAAACATCGCCATTTCTATTTTCAACATGTTCCCATTTCTTAGTCTAGAGCAGGGAAAAAGGATGTCAGACACTGCCTTACGTCATAGCCTGTTTCCAGAATGCAGTAATTGGACCAGGACAGGTATTGGTGCTATAATTCTGTATAGTCCTTTATTACGGCTCACACAGGCTCTTTCAGACTATCTGTTACAAAATACATCCAATGAGTGAAATGGAAGTTGACTGCTGATCAATCAACCTGCAATGCACCTTTGAAGGTAAGTCCATAAATTAGAGTCTACCTATAATTCCTATTAAATAGTGTGACTGTCCTGCTCTTACCAGATTTCCAAATCTGTTCTGTTGCTCAATGCATTATTCAATAAATAACTAAGGACATGAAACACTTTATCCCAACACTTGCATGGAAACATGAGCTGAGAAGAAGATAACATTTTGACCACTGAGCATGCTGCCAAGCAGATCTTATAGTGTGAACAACTTTCAGATAATGAATTCCAAATGCAAGACATCGGATATTTATGGCTAATATCATTAAATGTTACATTATTGAAAAGCAGGTTTTACCCAAGTGATTTATTCTTTTTTTTTTTACTCTAAAAATACAGAACACTTCATGAACTTGCGTGTCATCCTTGCACAGGGACCATGCTAATATCTGTATCATTCCAATTTTAGTGTATGTGCTGCCAAAGTGAGCAGAAAAATGTGGCCAGGCCTGGTGGCTCATGCCTATAATCCCAGCACTTCGGGAGGGCGAGGCAAGTGGATTGCTTGAGGTCAGGAGTTCAAGACCAGCCTAACCAACATGGTGAAACCCCATCTCTAACTAAAAATGCAAAAATTAGCCAAGCGTGGTGGGAGGTGCCTGTAATCCCAGCTACTTGGGAGACTGAGGCGGTAGAATTGCTTGAACCCAGGAGGCAGAGGTTGCAGTGAGCTGAAATAGCGCCACTGCACTTCAGCCTAGGCAAGACAATGAGACTCCATCTCAAAAAGTAAAAGAAAAAGAAAAAATGGGAACCTTATGGTATAAGAACAAAAGAAAAAATGAGTTGTGAGATTTATTTAATTTTGCACTGCAAGGAAAGGATCATTTTAAATGAGATTCTCAATTTTCAATTGAAAAAAAACAACAACAAATACTGGTTATAAAAATACCTGGCCTCAACAAGCACAGGAATCATCACAATTCAGGCCCCATGAAGCCACTGCCCCAAAAGAAAAGCAACAGGTCAAGGTATCAAACTCTAACACTAAGACACGTCTCATTTGACTAGATCACATTGGGCCTTTCATTCAGAATTCAGTATATTCTTTCCAAATAGAGGGAAATAATCCCTACTACAAGGAAAGGTTTAAAGCAGTCCTACATGTTGGCATGCTACAAACCAAGTAAGGTGGAGCAGCCACTCTGAAATCGAGTTATCTAAACGCAAGTGCCTAAATCCATCCTGTTCAGGTCCCAAACATCTCTGCCCTCAGTCAAAGGAAAACTGGTTCTCAGTGAGGACATAACTTGTCAGAAAGGACACTTCCCAAGGAGAGAGCGTTCAGGAACTACAACATCAGACAAGATCTGGATGGAAAGCTAAACTGAAGTGGTCAAGCTGGAAGAACCTCAGGAGCTGAGATGATTGGTACACAGAGAGCTCTAATACAGGAAGCACAAATGTTTAATTCAGGTCTGGGTAGAAAGCCATATCTAGCCAGCCTGCGTGTTGTAGAGTTAAAAATCTGAGGCGAGCTATATTATTCTCTCTCTGGATTTCTCACCTCATTGTCAAACTTCATCCAAGTGTTTCATTCTAACTGACATTTTTCTGGTTATCATGCCTATATAGCAAAGTGCAGAAAACCAAAGCATACAGCTCACATTTTCATAAAGTGAACCCATCCATGTGGGTGTCTAACTGAAATCTAACATAGAGACATGAGTTAAGTAAGTCTGTATGTCCAGGATTCTAATAGCAGTAAAGACCCGATTTAAGGCTGCCCAGCTTCAGACTCACAATTGTGAAATGGAAACACATTTACTGCTTCTGCCTACCGGGACACCAATATCATACTAGAAATGAATGTAAAAATACACAGTTTAAAACACACACACACAACTAGGAATGGAATCATTAGTTAAGATGCGGGGTTTTCTTTTTTCTAAAATAGTCTTCTTTCTGCTTTTGCCAAACAAGTTGAACATGCCTGCAAGACGCCTTCTGCGTATGAGCTGCATTGAGAGAGAAGCCCGCAAGAGGGGCTGCCGCCTATGGAAGGGGCCTGACCTGAGAGGCAGTACGAACAGGCTCTACCTTCACAAATGATCTCTCAGAAGATATGTCGATCCATTTTAAAAATAATAATTCAGTTGTAATAGGAGTGTCATTATGTCAGAGAAACAAAGCCACTAGGAGACATATAGAGATTCATGATGAGGAATTGGCTCACACAACTATGGAGTGTGGCAAACCCCGACACTGGCAGTGGGGATGCGTGAACCAGTCAATCGTGTGGTTCCAGTCCAAAGGCTGGCGGGCTGGAAACTGAGGAATAACCATTGTTTCAGTAGCTCTAAGGCGGGAAAAGCTAATGTGCCAGTTTGAAGGCTGCCGGGCAGAAGAGGCTCCCTCTTACTCTGCAGAGGATTGTTCTGGTCAGGCCTTCAACTAACTGTTTGATGGGGCTGCCCGCACTAGGCAGGCCTCCTGCTTTCCTCACTCTATCGATGCAGACATTAACCTCATCCAGAAACGCCCTCACAGACACTCTCAGAATAATATTCAACCGGATGCCTGGGTACCCCATAGCCCTGTCGCGTTGACACAGAAAATTAACTAACCCAGTCATATATTAGGCAGGGCAAAGGCAGGCACAAGCCCAGTGTGTCAGAAAGGGGAGCCTCGGGACAGGAAGGGAACAGCCTGCAGAGCTCAGGAGACTCATGAGACAACAGTGATGGAAAAGGGTCTGCGGCGAGCATAGAATGCAAAAGAAGGCATCTGAAATCCACACACAGAGGAGCTGACACAGGAAACCAGGGCTGAGTCTGGAGGAACCACACAAGATATATTATGAAGAGTTCAAAGCAAAAGCCTTCACAAAAGAAACACAATTCCTCTCTCACAAGCCCCTTCTGGTTGCAAGGAAATCTTACACAGACAGGCTGCTACACCCGTAGCCAAGGAGTATTCCCAGAGCACCCTTACAAACCTCATACACTTAGATCTAAAAGTCCTTCACCAAGAAGTGAAGCTTGCTATCTGGCCTGCACTCACAGAGCACCCCAACAGCCTGCTACACTTTCTCTTTAAAAAATTATAAAATATGTGTAGAAAGCCTCCACCATGAAAAGGAGATTTTAAAATGAATACAGAAGAAAGGAGAGAGCTGAGGAAACAGTACAGCAAACTTTAAAAGAATATTTTAAAGTTTGGAGTAATGCGAATGCTAATATCCTCAGAGTCATAAGATGATAACACATTCATATAAAACAAGAATAACATGGTGTTTCTAAAAAGGAAACAGAAAAAATAGCTATTGGCAATTGGAAGTATGCTAGGCTAATTAAAATAATGCAAAAAAAAAAGAAGTGAAAAATAAAGCTAAGCAAATTTCCCAAAAAGTAAAACCAAAAAACCAAGATGCAAAATAAAAGAGAATAGTAAAAATACAAGACCAAATCCAACCATTAAGAGTTCCACAGAAACCAGAGAAAGATAATATTAACAAGTTACACAGAAAAAGTTCCTAGAACTCTAAGAAAAAAGGTTTCTGATTGAAAGGGTACATCAAGTATCCAAAACAGTAAGAGACACATACCAAAAGTTTTCATTATAAAATACTAAATAGTTATAAAATATAAAGATATTTAAAAGAGCCTATGTATAAAGAGAAAAAAATCAAGATGAAATTGAACTTCATAGCAACACAGACCACCAAAGTGATACTTTAGATTTCTATACCCAGCCAAGCTATTAGACAGTCAAATCTACTTTTTACAGAAGCTTTTTTAGGAAGCCCATTACAGCAAGACGTGCTTCAACAATACAAGACAGTAATCAAGAAAGCAACCTCACCCCTACCCCACTCCCCGACAGTGTCTAAATATCAGGGAATATAACTCAAGAAAGCAGAAAGAAAGTTGGGCCGGGCGCGGTGGCTCAAGCCTGTAATCCCAGCACTTTGGGAGGCCGAGGCGGGTGGATCACGAGGTCAAGAGATCGAGACCATCCTGGTCAACATAGGTGAAACCCCGTCTCTACTAAAAATACAAAAAATTAGCTGGGCATGGTGGCACGTGCCTGTAATCCCAGCTACTCAGGAGGCTGAGGCAGGAGAATTGCCTGAACCCAGGAGGCGGAGGTTGCGGTGAGCCGAGATCACGCCATTGCACTCCAGCCTGGGTAACAAGAGCGAAACTCCGTCTCAAAAAAAAAAAAAAAAAAAAAAAAAAAAGAAAGTTCTGGGGTGACCACTTTATAGTAAAACATCTACAGGGCAGCAAGTTTATCTGACAAGAAGATGGCAGATACAGAGGGGAAGGGGTAAAATCAAGAGATTATTCTGGGATATTTATTTTAAAATATGTAGAAAGGTTGTATAATATAAATGTGTACTGAATCTGAGAGAAAAGGTAAGTATTAATATGCAAAAAAAATTGTTTAAGGAGAAGAACAAGGCAGGAAAAGCAAATTATACTAGAAATGAGGCAAACGATACACTGCCTCACTTGGCCCTAAAGTAAATAACTGAAATCTGCATCTGTAAGAGAGATCATTTCTAAACTTTATTTTACAATGTAGTGAAAACCACATTTCTAAACTTAATTTTGAAATATGGTAGAAACCCCCAAAAGAATTAAAAACACAAAGAGTTCAAAATGGTTGCCTTTGGTAGAACAGGACTGGGATGGGAGAGGAGGCAGGAGATTGTTGATTTTCATGATAAGCACTTCTAAACTACTTGAACTTTTAACTACCTACATGTGCTATTTTAATAACAACCGTCAAGGGATATCCAATTTTTCTAGCTAAGTTTAGAACTGGTCAAACATAAGAAGCTTTTCATTAGAACATGAAATCGAACTAAAAACCCAATTTATTTCTATACTACTTCCCACCACAGAAAGAGCTAGTAACTACTCATATCTGATATCAGTCCTCACAATCTCTTCCTTTTGCCAGCAGCAATTGACAGCTAGATCATGGATAAAAGAAGGGGAAATTCTCATCTGCCCCATAAGAGTCTAAAAAGAAACAAACCTGAGTACAGCACTCAGAGTGCAACATTTGTATGTATTCCTTTGAGACAAGTGGGCTGACTTTCAACACTGGAGTCTTCACCCTAAAACTCACCCCACAGGGAAATCAAGAGTCGAGTTCTTCCCCTTTAAATGGAAATACTTTATTCTGAAAAATATTTGCTCTTGTTAAGTTATCTTGCTTCCTTTCATCCTCTTCCAAATTCCTAGAACCTCTTTCTTCTTTCCATCAAACCACATCCTTCTCCTCTTCTGAGCCAACAGCCCAAGGGGTCATCTTCTCTAACAAGCTTTTCCCTATTCATGTCTACCCAAAGTGTACAATCTGGAAATCTGGAAATAAATGGATGAAACATTGTGCGTGTGTGTGTGTGTGTGTGTGTGTGTGTGTAGGAGAAAGAGTGTCAGAGATGGGACAGACAAAGGCAGAGAGTCAGAGAGAGAA